GCTAGTTCACAGGGGTGAGACAAGTGTCCCCAACTCCTGCCTTAGCAAATAGATGATTCCAGAGTGAGCAGAATCAATCACTGGCACTTGCCAAATAGATTGGGATGAAAGCAGAATAAATCAGTTCCTCTCTGTCAGTTGTGCTTTGAGTAGGTGAGCCAGGGAAGAAGAGGTCTGAGGCATGTGTTGAAAGCGTGCTACTTTCTGTTTCCAGCTGAGGATGCAAAGCAGAAGACAGAGTATAAACGGTGGCCATAGAACCATGTCTGGGGAGGTAAAGGAGTCTCATGAGCAATGCAACTTCTCCTTGTGAATTGTCCCTACGACAGCACTGGCTCTTGGTAGCACACACTGTTCACAGCACAGATATTTTCTTTATTGTCAAGGAAAATACAAATTCCTGAGGTTTGAATGACTGTTTATCTGGAATTTCCAGTTGAGGTTGTGGACTGCCATCACGTGATGATAGCATAATCTGAAGTTAGTAGTATGGTTAACTTCTTCAATTGTTTTCTTTTTCATGTGTGTGTTCCTGTGTGTGAATGCATGTTTGAAATGTCTGTTGGTGCCCATGTGTGCACAGATGCCTGGGAAGGGCCTCTGCTGGAGTTGGTGATCTTCCTCGATCACTGCTTTATTCACTGAGGCAGGGTCTGTCAGTTGAACCCAGAGCTCCCTGATGACAGTCCAGCTAGCCGTCTTACTCAGGGAACTTTCTCTCTCAGCTCTCCCAGCACTGGCATTACAGATAGGCTGCCACACCTGCTATGGAACCACTAAGCCATCTCTCTGGCCGCTACAATTTCATAACACTGTAACTAGCAGATATAAACAATACAATGTGCTGTTATCCACTGTAAGTTGGTGAAGCCTCTTGCGGCCAGAGACTCCATAATCATGCCAATGATCACTCCCTCAGAGGGAATGCAATGTCACGGGAGAGAAGAGCAGTTTTACCATGGCCGTAGCGTGGTTAGTCTCACCCTATGCTCAGCTGAAGAGAGAGCTAGTCTTCCATTGTGAATAGTCCAGCTCTATTCTGGTATGGCTGTTCATAAAATAACTTCAGGACTAAAGCATGCTGCCAAGTAATATTGATGCACATTATAAAAACTCTGAATAAATAAGAAACAAAACCCTAAAGATGCAACTATTAGTTGGTGAGGAAATAAAGTGTTTATGATTTTTCTTATGATGTTTCATTGACATATGGTGCCGCGAACCGAGTGACATATAAACTGACTAGGTTTAAGGAGAAATGGATGTGGCTTAATGAAGAGGGACAGGCTCTGTGTTATGAGACAGCTGGTTGTGCCACTGCTGGCTTATGGAGACAATATACATCGGACAGCTAATGAGTCTCTGTTGCATAAGATAGATTTTCTTTATAATAGAATTGCATGCTTTGTCTCTAAATGGGGTTATTATACACACCATTGCACAGTGTTTGAAGAGCTTGGTTGGACCTTGTAGAGGGTTAGGAGAGAAATAAATTGGAAGACAATCGTGCTTAAGACTGTCAATCCATCAAGCTCTCCATATTTATCTAAATTACTGGCACGTTCTCCCCAAATACAAATTTGTATGACACACATGGCTAGAATGTTAATGACGACCAGACTGCACTCTGGTTTCACCAGTTAGGCTTTCCTCTGTAGGCACGGACCAAAATCCACGCAAGCTAGAACCTGGCCGTCGGTACCCTAGCACCACTACCTGCCATGGCCACTCTCTTCCTGCACCCCGCCGTGTCATTGCCCTAGTTTTCTTTGGCATTTCTTCCAGCCCCTGCAAACACACATACAAACCCCTTATCTTGGGTGATTTAATCCTCAGGACTCTGGTTCTGAATACTTGGTTTTAATGGAAATTCCTTCATTTTTTCCACACACCTGTGGGCCCCTTGCTGTTCAGTCACTTCGTTCTTTTTCTATTTCCTTTCTTAAGATTTATTTTTACACTATGTATTTGAATGTTTTGCTAGCATGTATGGAGGTGTCCTGTGTGTTTGCTTGGTACTGGCAGAGTTCAGAAGATGGCACCAGATTTCTTGGAACTGGTTGGTTGTAAGCAGTCATGTGGGTGCTGAGTCTGGGTCCTCTGACAGCTGTGACTGCTCTTGACCACTGAGCCATCATTCCAGCTATGCTCAGCTACTCTTCAGGACAAATTCATTATGATTCATTTTATAACACTGAGAAACAGAACTGGATGTGGCAGAACAAAGGGTCAATCACTCTTCATCAAAAGATGGGTACAGAGTCAGGGCCCATGTGGACGATGTAGGAGAGAAATGGAAGACCCAAGACATTTTGTGATGGCTTTGGACCTGATTTACCTTCTGGCTTGATTCTTTTATTGACGTTATTGAGTATTCTTCAGGACTTTTGTAGCTTAGTTTGATTTCAGAGTCTCTGCCCCCTACTCACAATAGTGTGTCTTTACTCCCTCCCGAATTATAGGGAAGGTGATTTTTGGGGAGCGTATTTATATGGTTGGGGAGGGACTTTGGACATTAGTTGTTTCCACTGACCTTGACATTTCTCCTTGGAAGCAGAGTGACAATATCTGCCTCTTCTAAACTTCTTCTCTCTGTCTTGACTCCCAGCTGAGCATCAGTAATTGAAAAACATTACACACAGGAAATAGTTAATGGTTCTTGGAGTAAGATGGTCTTTTCAGCCAAGACATCATTTCGCCCTCAACCAGATTGCTTCCTCTTCATCATTGTATGGTTTTTTACTTTTCAACCCTCTGTGTGTCTGGAAGAAAGCAAGGTGAGCTGAAAGAAATGAACAAAGCAGTTTCATGGGCTTCTCCACCTCAGCTCCCTTCTCAGCCTCTTCCAAATTGAATCTTGGAGCCTTGTCAGGAGTGTTATTTTTCCAACAGAGACAGTGCTAAGAGACTATAGAAAATAAACTCACCTTCTGATACTGCTCTCTTTGCTTGCTCTATCCATTTACTGCGACAACTATATTGGAAGGTGTGACAGGAGGGGTTATATGACAAAGGAAAAATTACCTCTCTCTAACCTATTTGTCTGTGTTTTCTTTAATATGGGCTTCCAGGTTTCCTTGTCATTTTTGGAATAATGTCTTACCAAGGCAGACTCTCATTTGTCTGGTGTGTGGGTTTATCAATATGCTTAAGTCCATCCACCTAATTTTGAAGCCTTCAAATACTATTCTGTAGATTGAGTTATGGTTTTATAATAAAATTTCTCTAATTTGGCCAGGGAAAGGAAAAAAAAAACCAAACCTAAGACAAATGGTAACAATGCCTAGATAATAAGTTTTATGATTTCAAAAATGAGTTTTATGTGCTCTGGTAAAATCGATCACTGGATGACAATGCCGAAGTCACACAGCTCTAGGTACAAATCAGCTTCCATTTGACTGGACGTTTCATTTAACATGGGGGTTTGCACTTCTCATGATTTTTTCCTTTAGCATAGTTCCCTTCAGGAGAGCACAGTGCTTACAGACTACTGAGCACTCGGCAGCTTTCATTGCGCCTGTTTGGCTTATCCCACTCTAAGCATACCAGGATCTAGAACTCTGGAACATGATCCTGAAACACACTATGTTCAAATATAACACTTTTGAAGTGTTATAGTTTGAAGACTTGGAATCACATCACCAGGGGTTACACTCTCGGCTCCCAATAAGAGCTCTGGACTGTTTGAATCAAGCTGTGAAAAGCTCGTGCGCTCTTTGTGTTCCTGGGAAATCCTTTCTCTTAGTCCTGTAAATATGCCTGTCCCCATTTTCCTGGGCTTTTTAATCCATCCCTCATGCCATTTTCTGATCTCCTTTCTTCCCACATCCTCATGTTGAGGTGCTTTCTTCCATATGTGTTATTTTTGATTTCCATATGTCACTGCAACCAGCCTGAGTGAGGTCAGCAATCAGCTTTGCTGGGGGTTCTCTAGTTTCTTCTCTTTATCTCATTTGATGGCTACTCATACTGTCTCTTTTGTTTCTAAGGCGTCTGCTTTGATTTGCTTAGTTTTTTTTAGGTTTTTTTTCCCCTCCTCTCTCTGTTCTGTAGCTATCCCTTGCGTCCTAATTATTGCAGAGAGCTGGGTGCTCTGGTCTAGCTTGTACTTTGTACTTTGGCTTCCTGATTCTGGACTACATTTTCAGTTCCCAGATATATGTCCTGTGGCCCAGGCTCAGTATGACCTTGACCTCCATCTTCTTATTAGCCATTGGGACATCTACTCCTCATCCAGCTTTGCTTCCTCCATCAGTAAGTATGTCCTTCCCTTCCCCCTACAGGGGCCGACAGCAGAGACTCAAAAGTCATTGGGTCATGGGGTTCCTGCCTTCCACACTTGTCTAATCATTTGCCGAAGCCCATGGATTCCTCTCCACTAACATCCTCACATCTACCCGCGTTTCTCCTAAGGTTCTTGAGATGCAGCTGTCCCTGTCTTCTGTCTGAGTTCCTTCAGCTGCAAGTTGCTTCTGCTTCTCTCTCCCTCTGAAGACAGCCCAGGCATGCTCTTTCCTGCATCGCAACTCCGTGAAAGATGTGGCTCCCAATAGCTCAGACTCCCCCTATGACGCAGGCTTTCCTCTCTTTTTCCTGACTTGTCCCCTAAATTCATTGTTTCGAGGTAACTCCTTCAGAAAACATGTGGACTCTTAAAGCCACACCCTGCTCCGCCATGGAATTTTAGCCTACAGTCTCTTCTCTCTCCGTATGGGGGAAGCATCTGCTCATGTTTAGAGAAGATTCAAATGATGCTTGTGCAAGCCTTCCCCCCTTCTGATAATAGTCACTGGATCCTTCATCATTGCCCTGGGATCATATGTCCAGACAGAGAGAATCTTCATCGTGCGTTTTGTTTTTGTTTTTTTTTTTCATTGCCACTTGACCCCAAGTTCTGGGCACATTCTAGCTACAGTGCAGGGAGGCTCCGGCACCATTGGGATGTGGCGCAAGTTTGGGCGGGCTGTTTCATTTCTACTCCTGATTCTGCTTTCCCCCAGGAAAAGGAGAAGCTGTACGTGGAACTGAAGCACATCTTGGCCCGGCAGCCTGGCCCTGAGGCGGCAGAGCAGCTGCAGATCTACCGCCACACGCTGCGCGAGAAGACCAAGCAACTGAAAGTAAGAGGGCACTCCTGGGCTGCTCAGTGAGTCAGACCACAACAGAGCAGATTTCCCCAGAGTTGATTAGACTCTTAGAGGCCAAAAGGAGGAAGGTGAAAGCCAAGGAAGGAGCTGAGGAAGGAAGGAAGCATTGTGATGGAGGAAGGGTTTGCATGGACGGTCACAGAACTGTTCAGGCAGCTCAGATGGTGGAAGAGAACGTTAAACACCATTGCCAGGGCAAAGTCCATTACCACACCAAAGAAGCTTTCTGCTATTCCTTGCCACCCATAATAAGCACATGTAAAGTACCAACCTGTCCCTAAGGTCTGGCATCATGTCCACTTATCACAAAAGTGAGAGAAAACCAAGTAAAAATGTGTTGGCATAATTCCCTTCCAAGTGACACCAGAGCCTTAGCTCGAGACATGGAGTATTTTATTATTCTGTGTGCCTCTTGGAAGTTGTCTCAAAAACTATATATTTTCAGACTGTATTTTTAGCTTTATCTTCTGAGTAAGCAGCCAGTGTTCTCAGAACACCAAAGAAGCACAAAAGCTCACGCACATCCATGGAGTTCTCAGGTCAGCTGACTTTTGGCACTTACGCTGCCCAACAAGGGTGATAATCCTTACCTTCTATTTGGGATAAACTAGATTCCACCCTATTAATCTTTTCATAAACAAGGCGGGTAAGAAGGACAGATGAAGCCGATCTAATCAGAGCATTAATTTTCAAATCACCGTGAGTGCTCATTTCATTTGAGGACCCAGAGACATAACTGGGATTTTTGCAAAAGGCACACAGTCTTGATTACTTTTGTTTCTTGAAACAATTGAATACTTCAAGCCAAAAAATGTTTTCTTCCTATTTTCTGAGGGTGAGCATAAATTAGAAAAGTACACACCTCCTTTGTCTTCTCCACAGTTGGCTCTGGATAGTCCTCAATGGCTCCCCTAGGGGCGTTACTTTACAGCAATCCTTTACCTCAGGAAACCCTTGTCTTCTGCTCAGAATAAAATGCGACACCTTGCAGCAGAGGGATGGGAGATATTCTGAGCAAGTCCCACAGAGCGAAGCCATTATCTGGATTCTCAAAACATGGTCTTTGTTCCTAAGAATCAAACCACTGAGACGGGTTTTCTTTCAACACGAACATCATGTTCCTCGGTGCAGACAGCATGGCCATAATCATATTCACAACAATTGGGAGGAGAGAGTTCAGAAACAGACAAAAGATGGTAAAAGGATGATCTCTCTTTTATGACTGGCTTCCAGACAGCAGGCACATGGCCCCTCCCCTTAGAACAATTGGCTGCCTCTCCTTGCCTGGAGTTTGGCAGGGAGCACACCTCAGCACTGGCGTTCTTTATGCCCTGTTTGGATGAGTAAATTCTTGCTCTTGTGAAGTGCATATCGCTTGGCGCTCATTGGACCCAGCCATGGAGGGGGGGGGCGGTCAGGCTTCTCATCTCAGTCTCTCTCCTGCATTAAGATCTCTGAGGCACAAGCTCCCTGTTTTTTAGAGCTAAAGTGTCCCACTGCTGAGATACAGAGAGAATAGTCCTGGGGAGTGCAATGAAAGGGGCGATAGACATTTAGCAGGACCACCACCCTGGCATACACAAACTGTGAAAGCCGAGTTAGTGGTGGTGGCGAAATGCTTTCAGAAGGGCTCTTACTGTAATCCTCAGAATCTCACTCCCTAGTGGTATTTTCTCTTGCTTTAAAAAATGTATTTTATGTATTTTAAAAGGCTAAGAGCTCTTTTCAACTGTGTGTCTGGGAGTATTCCTGTCCCCACTCATAATATTCCCTGAAACACACTACCTTGTTCATCTGAGCCCATCTGAATGTTGCTGCTGGCTCTCCTTTTAAGTACGGCGTGATATTTCATTTATGTTTGTCACTGGATTATGAGTCACTAGTCCTCAGCCAGATTAACACCTAGGTGTGGGCCCTGAGCCTGTGGAAGCAAGCTGTTGAGCTATTAACCCGGACAATGGTCTGTGCCGCTAGCCCCTGGGAGGAATGGTGGCAGGCTAAAACAAATGTCTCAGAAGGTGCCCTCTCCTTGTGCATCCTTCACTGATCCGCTTCTCTTGCTACGTCAGGTTCTGTCATCAGAGCTGAATATGTACGAATCACAGAGCCAGGAGTACAAGTACGAGATCGAGAGACTTGGCAATGAACTGGTGACGATAAAGAAGAAGTACCTGGCTCAGAAGCGTAAAGAGCTCATTCTGAAGTAAGGCTCAGTCAGATGTTCTAACCTCCTTATGCCTGCTATCTGATTGTGAAAGATTTGAGGAAGCTTACCTTTGATCCCAGCACCCAGGAGTCAAAGGCAAGCAGATATCTGTGAGTCCAAGACCAGCCTGGTCCACATGGAATTCTGGGTTAGCCAGGGCTATACCATGAGACCTGGTGTCAAAAAGAAAAAAAAAAATGTTCAACGAATTTCTCAGCTGCCAATCTCAATGGGGTAAACTGAGTCATGGAACAACTAACCAGAAGTTCATAACACATGAGAATTGATGTCCTGTCTGATGTCGATCGCTCCTCACTTAGGAACTTAACAGTAATCCACCAACACCTGCTCACTGATGGACTGAGCACAGAGCAGATGGACATGAGGGAGGTTCCCTGCCACACACTGTCCTCACAGCTTGCCAACAACCAGGTTATAATTGCAGATGAGGCTTGATAACCACCCTTCCCCAGGCTGGCGCGTATCTGAAATGAAAACCATGAGTACTTTTGCAGAAGGGGTAGGGCCTGGTGAGACCATAACCTCTCACAGTGCAGAGGCTGTGAGTGGGAACCCTGTCAATATTTTAGACATGCCTTTCTCTCAGCGTCCACGTTTGGCAACTGACTAATGTATCTGTGGTGGGGTGCTGGCCTCAGCTCCTCTTCTAGGAGATAAAGTTGCAAATGCTGAGGTAGACATTTTGGGATTTTTCCATGTCTGAATGCTGGGAAGCAAATGCTCTTTTTGCTTTGTTGTCATTTCCCTTTGCCCAGGGACTAGGGCAGGAGCCCAGTTGACTCAGGAAGTTTAAAACTAGGACTGATTGTGTGGCCTTGCCAAAACTAATCCAGCTAATTTTACAGTGACTCCCATTACGGGTTGAAAGTCATATTTGGTATTTTCATCTGCATGGACATCTCAGGGACAGGATGAAATATGGTTTGAGTGCATCTGCCTACAATCTGTTAGCAACAAACAGCATATAAAATAACTGGATGCAAATTCATTTGCCAGTAAAAATCTGCCCTTCTTGTAAATCAGAATGTTCCTCTGGTCTACACTGAGATGGCAGCTCTGTGGTGGAGTGAAAAACTGCCATGATTTAGAGAAGTCTGTCTTAACATGTAGCTCTTGTGACTACCTGACTCTGTAGTGAGGTTGATTAAACATGCAGGTTCCCAGGTTCCATTTCCTGATCCCTGGGCTCAGCCTCAGAAATCTGCAACTTCAAGCTTTCCGGGTAGTTTTCAGTCATATTAGAGAGAGAGAGGACCTGAAGTAAAGGACTCACAAATTGGAAGCACTAGGGTTATGGTGGACCTCAGGGAGAGCGAGCATAGGGCCCCATCAGCTCTGGCATCTTGAGGCTGTGCTGCTAACATACCAGTATGGCTGGTTTCTCATGGAGGAGGTGTTGAACTCCAGGAGCTTCAAGCTTTTGGGACTTCACATTCTGAACAATAAATGATTCTTGAAATCACTGCTCTCCCTCCCATGTATACAGACACACACTTTTTTAAATGAAAAAAGAAAGTTTCTTGGAGCCGTTTGAGATTGACCTTCGGAATATTTTAATTTGTAGGCTGCGGGCACGCTGTCACCATTTTGTAACAATAAGCAAAGCGTAAGGCCTACTTTTAAAGATGATAGCCTGGCCACACTTTGGTGCTTTCTTTCTGTGACAGTTGATCATACCGTTTACCTCTAAGTGTTCAGGCCTCCTTGCAGATCAGTGCTGTGGTTTACACAGTCCCAAACAGCTAGCTTGGTGAAATGGCGACCCATCGCTCTAGAACCAAGCCACTTGTTACTGTAGCTCGTGGCTTGCCCTAACCTTCTCTTTAAAAACGAAATTTAAAGTTATATTTATTTATTTATGTATCTATTTATTTATTTAGGGTGTTATTTATGTTTGAGTGTATGTGCATGTATGTTCATGTGTGTGTGTGCCTGTGTGTATGTGCACATGTATGTGCCTGTGTGTGTGTTACATGTATGCATGTGTGTGTGTGATATGGCCCTTTGAATTTAAGCACATTGGAATCAGCCTGAAAGCTCTGTGCCTCGGTTGCACTGGCTGCACTTAGGCTGTTGGCCACACGCAGTTGGTGGCTCACCGCAGAACCTTTCTGTTTGACGCAGAGGCTTCGCCAGGGAGTGACTCCTCAGGCTTGTCTTTCCTGTCTTCTTCTTGTCCTCCCTCTCAGCCCTCTGACCTGGGTTTGGTCGCACTGGAGGCTCCTTTCAGCTGAGGTATTCATAAGCCAGGAGACAGGGAGAAGAGTTCATGGGAACACAGCAAAAAAGATGAAGGTGCTGAAGAAAATATGCAAAGGCAAGAACAAAAGTGCTGAGATGGTTTAGACTAGGAAGAAGAAGGCTGTAGGGAGTCATTATAATGGTCTATAAATACATTAAACAGATAATGCAGAGGAGACAGGATTCCCATTAGTCAGCTTAGACCAAGCCAGAAGCATTAAGCTTAAGTTCCTTCAGAAAGGAAAATTCAGGTTATTTAAGGCGAGGGAGTGCAGGGAAGGGGAGTGAGGGCTGCGAGCATCCAACTCCAGTCAGGGCCGGACAAGCTGCCAAAGTACGAGAAGGAAGCCTGTTTGCTGGATCTCCTCAAAGCTGGAGCTGTTGTCCTGTTCGTGGAGGCTGGGTTTTCACATGATGAAATCTGTTCTGCTAAGAGCTGCTGAGACGATTAACCAATGCTCTACAGGTTCTTTCCAAACGGAAGAACTCAGCCTTCCCCGTGGATGTTCTTTCTATAAGCCCTTCAGAAAACAGCAACTCCTGTCTTTCTTGCCTTCTGGCTTCTTTTATTTTTCTCAGACACACTTTTTGTCACCCTTTGGGGTTCCACCCGTATCCCTCCGTCTGATTCCTCCAGGCTTCACTTTTTATGCTGGTTTGTAGTTTGCAGGATCAGGTTCTTCCCCCCAAATCAGGATTCATTCTTCCAAGATCCATCCTGTGTCATTGGCCTTGTAGTGACTAAGAGTTTGCTAATTGACCTTGGTCTTAGAGTCCGCTTAATTTTTGTCTTTTATAATTCAAAATAGGTAGGTTGTATGCTACATCTTCAGGAAAGGGATGTGTGTGAGTGTGCCTGTGTGTGTGCGCACACGTGTGTATTGTGTGTGTGTGTGTGTGTGTGTGTGTGTACCTGTGTGTATGAGCAGGTGTATGGGTGTGCGCAGGTATGTTTGCATGTGTGTGTACATCTATTTATGTGTGAGGTATGCATGAGGGTATATGTATGTGTGAGCAGGGGTGTGTATAAAAGGGATCTATATAAAATATATTGTAGATTTGTTTTAGGAAGAATTCCTTTTATCTATTACCAAAAATACCATCTTTTTCATTTCCCAGATTTTCCTGTATCTTAGACTGTTTCTAGTAATTTCTAGAGTTATAGGAAAGTTTGTATTTTATAGATGTGCAAGTTTAATAAAGACACTTTACATGCGGTAAATATTTCTAACTTCATGAGACTTTGGGAATGTACCAGGTGATAACTGACTAATTAGTCATAATATCTGAGCCAAGAGGAAGGCTCTTCTGACTGATCTTTAGATCTAAACAAATGTTTTTAAAACAGGAAGGCAAGTCTGGCGGCACCAAAGCCAGCGTCTGAGCTGCAACGAGGTCCTGTGTCCATATCTGGACCACCAGCAGCAGCACACAGTCCATATCTAATCATCTCCCCGTAATTGTAGATGCTGTCAGAAAAACACCTAACTAGGTTTCCACAAGCACCTTGCCTCCAGCTGGAGGCTTTAATCAGTTGTTTTCAGTGGCTGGCTTACTCTACACTTACAGAACAGAACGTGTAGCTCAGGAGAGGAACGGGATATTGGGAAGCAAATCATGTTCTTTCTCTTACAGAAACAAGGACAAGAGACCCATGAACACTATGTTCTCAGAGCCCCGGCATTCTGGCCCTCGGTTTACCGGGGGTGGATTTCCCCTCAACCAGCCGTCTAAGGTGAACCTGTAACAGGAAGCTGCTAGCTGGCTCAAGCTCAACAGCTCAGGAAATTTGCTCTGGAACATCATGGAGGATCATCTTCAAATCCCTCAAATCACAGATATATAAAAGAAGCTGGTGTCCAGCTTTCCAGAGTGGGAAGGGATGGACAACTAGCAGTGTCCTGCATACAAGAGTGATGATGTCATACCCGAAGCACACGGACATTGGCATGTAATTGTAGCTCTAATTTAACTAGGCTGGCCCTTGGCGTAAAATCGATTTTTTTGTTAGAATCGCAGTGACTGACTTGAAATGCAACAGGGTTTAGAAACTTGGGGTGGATGAAGCTTTGGGTATTAATTTCTCTATTTTAGATACTTGAGCACTTGAAGGTTTTTGTATGCAAAAATTATTTTATATGTAAAAACATGCAAAGCATGCCATCACATCTTACTAGCAAAAAATCTATTTTAATTATTCCTCATTAACAAGTCATTGGGTGAAATGAGAAAACAGGACATACTACTGGGATTTCAAAAAGTGTATATTGAGAGTGATTTCCTTGTGGGACATCATTTCAGGCCTGGGGTAGGAAAATCTGTTCTGCAGAGAAATGCCAATAAATACTTCATCATAAAAAAAAAAAATCTTTGTAAAGATTTTGATCTTTGCTTTGGTAGAGCAGGCCATTAAAGTTTAAAATGGCTGTGAGAAATGTTTAACGTAAGGAGTTGAGTCGAAGGATGCAAGACTGTGAAATGAAAGGAAGGGCTGCTGGGTTTCGGAGGCCTCGTGCCTTACAGTGGAGTTGTTTAGCACCATGATGTTTGGCTCTCAGGCGCCAGACAGCATTTTGAGCCACAAAATCCATATTACTTTCTTTCTGTGGAAGCCAAAATTATGTGGGCATCAGTTCTCAGTTACTTCGTTACGTGTTCATTCAGCAGCATTGTGGTCATCTCTCTTACAATAACTTGATTTCCACAGTTTTTTAAATTATTGAGGAGCAAGGATCTCAGCAATGGTCAGAGAACAATGTGAGCGAAACATTAGAGCCTTCCACTTGTGTTCAGCGACCACGATTCCCGTTGTCAAAAGCAAGGGTGTTAATCACCCCAGATGTTTGTCCTGACTGTACAGGAAAATAAGACTTAATGAAATTCTCTGGACTCGTTGTGGCCCCTCAGTCTATCAAGGCTGGTTCTGTTGCTTAGGTGTGGTTGCCCAGAAGCTGACCAATACCAGAGAAGTCCAGGAAAGTAATTTACTCCACCAAAGCAGGTAAGGGAGACAGAAGGGGAAGCAGGCCATGGAAAATCCAGGTGCATGATGGGAGAGTTTGGCTGGACTTGCAGCAGAGCTCTCAGGACACTGTGGTCGCCACTCAGAGTTTTTCCATGAAGAACGAGGGGGCTTGGGTGTTGATATCTTTATACTGTTAGTTACCAGCCAAGGGCTGTTCTGGAGGGACCCTTCTGGTTCTCTTTGCCTGTAGGCAACGCAGGCCTTGGCACTCGGTGGCAGCCCTTGGACAAGGAGACGGCAGGTGCTGATGCTGGAGGTGGAAGTGGTTAGGAGATCAAGGGGGCACGGGTTAAGCGCTGTCACCCTATTGTTCTCTCTCACCTGAACCAGCGAAGCAATGCCACAGGTAGAAGGCCATCTTAGTGTCCATGGTAAGGCTGTGGTGAGGCTGTGGTGAGGCTGTGGTGAGGCTGTGGTGAGGTGTGCTCCTAATATATTTGAGCACATTACGTAAATATAGAAAATGGGCATGTCTCCTGGAGAAGTTACCTAGAGCATTTTACATCCAGAGAATCAAGGTGGGAGCTGGATATGAGTGGTGCATGCCTTAATCCCAGTGGTAAAAAGAGAGGAGGATCAGGAATTCAAGGCCAACCTTGACTACAAAGCCAGTAGCATTTGAGCCTGGAGACCTTGATTCAAAGCAAACAAATGTCTGTACAAATCAGTAGAATCAGTAGAGTTTGGTAAGATGCTGTGTGCCTGTAATGCCTGCAGGAAGGCAGAGCCAGAAAGATTACAAAGCCTCTCTGAATCTGCACAAGAATAGACTGGAGATAGCTCAGTGGTGGAGCCCTTGCCTGGGGTGTTCAGGACTAGTTAAACCCAGTACTTTAAAAAAAAAAATCAAAGCTGAAAGATGGCATTTCCGCTTCTGAAAAGTTGCTGATGGTATTTTCCCTCACAACAACATGTTGTGTAGGCAAATCCATCCCTTAGGGCTTCCCATCCATGAAGAGACATTTTCTGAAGAGCAGCTAGACCAAGTTCATTGAGTTCTTGTGACGGCTCTATAAGAGGCTCATGTGCGATGAACCTCTCGATCCATCCCACGATGGCAAAGACTGGAGATAGCTTCTGGGTTCACAGTCTGACTCCTGACAATGACTTGTTTTGAACGATGGATGAGTTCAATCATATAAGCTTAGGGCACTGTCAGGCCAAGTGCATGCAATATGTATATTTATATACACATACAGATATATGCTATAAGAGATAACTAATGTTTTGGAGTTGGAGAGGAGAAGTTGCTACGTAATTCTTATCAACTCAAAGGTGATTCTAACATGCACATACAGGGTGATGGCATTCAAATGTCGGGATGAAGATGATTGAGTAATGAAACTTGTAACTGAGTATCTTGTAAAATGCTACTTTGTGTGCCTTATGAAGAGCACCTTTTTCTATGTATTATTATTAAAGTCTGGGAGGAAGGAAAGTATGATATAAAGTAGTGCTGTGTCATAAATTTACACACAAAAGTAAACATAAAAACAATCTGAGGATAAGGTGACCTTTCATCTTTATTAGTTGGAATTTTCTGTTCTTATTCAGTCACCATAGGGAAAGTCCCAGTGAGATCCCTGCTGCCCTCGGCCCTCTGCTTTTTGGGTGGTCAGCCTGCACTGGCAACAAGGGTGCTGTGATCCAGGACAGAAGAGGGCTCTGCAAGCTACACGCAGCTCCAATAGATGACGGTCACGTGGAGCAGCGAGTGGAGTCTGGAAACAGTAGAGTCCTGGTATTGCAAGCAATATTTATTTAGGTGCTCGTATTTCCACCATAGCCATGGCACAAAGATGGACTGTTAAAAGACGCTGAGCTTTCCAAAGCATTAACAATAACTGTGAGCTCACAGTGGGCTTGGTGCTCTTAAAACCACAAATCTGCTCTGCATTGTAAAGCAACGTGAGGAGATGGCACAGCCGGGTAATTTTACGCCTGGGGTTTTCTGAGCTTGAGAGAGGAGTCCTGTCATGAAACTATCCATCAACTTCCAACTGGGAAGATGGAGATGGGATGCTTTCTCTGTTAATAGGGAGACCTGCTAATGGAGACTACTTGACTGTCTTTGCTGATCGCCTCTTCTCAGCAACTACTCTTCTAGCTGGTTTTTATTGTGCTTGCTTCTGAAGACTGGCTCAGCTATGATCACCATCGAGAGGGCATTGGCTATGCTAGGAAGAGATGGCGGCAATTCCCCTGCTCATGGCAGGAATTCTGCTGGGAGTGCTCACCCAGGGTTGATAATTCTCATTTGATTTTCGGACTAGCTCAGAGTTTGAACAAAGCCTAGGCCAAGATTCTCAGAGGAAAATACCATGTGGTAAATTTTGAGTGGAATGGCATTTCCTAGGCAGGACAATTTGAAAATCAGGGTACTCCTTCTTTGTGAGGTATCGTCACTTACACGGCCACCTAGCTGCTATGGGAGCAGAGGGAGGGTGTTTTTAAATATTAAAATTGTAAAATAACTTAATATGTATCTCATCACTCTCTTTGTATTAGATGGAAAATATTTTTATAGCATTATCCATTTTTAACTCCTAATTCAGTGCTGTTTTAGTACACCATTCCTTATATCTATTATTCAAAGGTTCCATTAGGGTTTTGAGATCCATTAGAATTTTATAACAGTAGGAAATGTCGTATCAACAGGGTACCATTCTTCTTTTTTATAATTAAAAATAGATTTCCCTCTTATTTTAAAGCACCCAATTGTAGCAGAAAATTAGAAAGTAAGGATAAGCAAAAAGGAGAAAAAGGCTACCAATACGGACCCCCTCCGCATCACCGGGGGCTGTAGTGGTTGCTCATGCCGGCCATTTGTCCTGACTGGTGAGGGCTCAGATGAAATTGGTAAATATTTTGAACACTGTGCTTGAAATGCTAATGTTGCACACTTCTGATTTTATATTCATGGATGTTTCACCTACATGAATGTCTGTGCACTGCTTGTACACCTGGTGCCTGCAGAGGCCAGAAGAAGGACTTTTTTCATACTCATAAATTGGTTTTATCTTTTCTACAGTGTCACACAAAGGAAGCACTCACAACATATTCTTTTGGACTTGGGTCTTTATAGCACAGTGCATTTGAGGTCAGCTAAATGGTTGTATATGCACGCATACACCAACCATTCACTTGCTCTTACTACAAAGTAATATTATATTTTATATATAAATAATGCAATTTGTTTATTTGAGTTGTTGCTGGGAGCTCTAGTTGATTCTGGACCTTAGCTTGTATGAAGGAAGTTGCTACAAAGATTCATGTATGAGTCATTATGTAGATAGACACCACCGGAATTCCTGGATCTGCATGAAAGCGTGCATTTTACTTGAGACATTGTCAAAGTGTTGCCTGGATTGTATCAACGTACCATACTACCAACAATGTGTATGGCCCACATCCTTGTCAATACTGTGCACTGCCAGTGTTTTTAAGCCTTTCTATTCCATCAACAATGATGCCTCCATGCCATTTATTTCCTGATGACTAAGAGCATTAAGCATCTGTTACTGTCAGCTTGGTCATTCCTAAGTCGTAGTTTTTGAAATGCCTTCAAACCTTAAGCCCGTTTTTATCTTCTTACTAGGCCGTGAAATTTCCTCTCGCAGGCTGGTGCACATGCTTTGTCGAGTGTGTGTGGAACAGCTTTTTCACTCAGCTGGTGGCTCACCTTTCCATTTTCTCAACACTGTGTTTGAGGAACAGAGCATTTCTATTTTAATAAGGTCTGATGTATCTTCATTTTTCTTATGTGGCTTTTACTTTCATTGTCCTGTCTTAAGCCATTTCTGCCTACTCCATGACAGTAATGAATTTCTTTTGTCTGTATTTTGGTTTAGAAGTTATTATGCCTTTGGCTTTTATATTTATATTTATAGATTTGGAGCTAATTTATGTATAGGATGAGATTTTAGAGTGGAGGTTCATTTAAAAACCTTTTTAATTAAAAAATTGAAATACAATTTTTTTATTGGTGTTCTCTGCTGTACAACAGATCTCAGACAAATTCTTTGTCCTGGCTGAGACTTGGTACCCTGTGGTCAGCATCTCCCCTTTTCTTTCCCGGTGCCCCACAGCCCTTGTTAAACCACCAGTCTACTCTCAGCTTCCTAGAGTTCAAGCTTTTATGTTTTGTGTATAAAGGAGTTTATTTAGTATTTTTCCTTCTGTGTCTAGCTTATAGCAATTAGTGTGACATTCCCCAGTTCGTCCATGCAGTTACAAACGTAGAAATTCTCTCCTTAAGAGTATCTCATGTATATATATCATGTCTTACTGTATGCTGTTCACCTGTTCCTCCAGGGAGACTTCTATTGATTGACTGGGAATAATACTTCAATGAACACGGGAACCTCTTCTCCCCTTCTGTCCTTTCTTCTTCTCTTTCCTGTCACCTCCCTTCCCTTCTCCTCTTCCCTCCTGTCTCTTCTCTTCTCTTCTTTCCTCTCCTCCTCTTCTCTCTTTCCTTCTCTCCCAGTTCTCCTTATGTAGTCCAGGCTAGCCTCAAACTTCATGCTTTCCAGTCACTGATTACTGTGATTGCAGACATCTTCTACCATATGCCTAGATCGGGATTATTTCTTAATTTGACTTTGTACTATTCCAATTATAGCTATTTGATCTACGTCGAGGAACATTAACTTTTTCAGCCTTTGAATTCTAATTTGCAAAGTGAGGACCATAATTGTACTTACTACCTACCTCATAGAACTTTGAGGATTATGGGATGCTATGTGTGATGTTTGCACAGACAGTGTCTTGTACATAGTAAATGTTCAAGAAATTCCAGCAAATAAAAAAATCATCCTATTTCTAATTGGTAGTTTGGGAATTTGAGAGACCTTTTTGATTGTTCATACGAATGGAGAATAAGCATCACAGAGACCTCTTCCCTGCTATCTGGATATATGGTCAAGAATTGCCCCTGGATTAGGAGGCCTTCCATTATGCTCCTTAAATAGACATTAAAAGATTGAGTGGCCATTAAAGTGTATAGTGTCAGTTCTGTCTCTCTCACTGTAGTGATTAGTCTTTTTTACACTTCATTTGAGACAGAATGCCAGGAACTCCTCCTTCTGGCTCCAAACTAACACTGCTCACATCTACAGCGTTCACAGAGACAGCTGCTCCCCTCACTGTGCTGTGCTCTTGCCAGGGAACTCAAGGGTAACAGTAAGCAGCAACACTGCCCCAGCCAGACTTTCAGGAGCTGGGTGACCAGCCACACCCCTGCAGCTCTGGGAGGAGACTTCA